TTGAGCCCAGGAGTTGGAGGTTGCTGTGAGCTGTGATGCCACCGCACTCTACCCAAGGGGACAGCTTGAGACTCTGTCTCAAAAAATAAAAATAAAAAAAATAAATAAAAGTAAACTAAACTGAACTGAATTGAACTAAACTAAAAATAATTTTTAAAAAAAGTGAAGGCAAAAAACCAGAGTTGTCAATTACCTGAATATTGAATTCTATACCCAGCAAAACTATCCTTTAAAAAAAGGAAACCTTAAGATAGTCCCAGATAAACAATGAGAGAGTTCACTGCTAGCAAATCTGCCTTATAAGAAATACTACAGGGAATCCTTCAGGCTGAAACGATAGGGTACTAGACAGTAACATGGATTTCCATAAAGAATAGCAATAAAGCTAACTCCGTATTTGTATTAGTTTCCATAAGTTTAGTGGATGAAAACAAGACATTTTTATTATGTAATCATGGTTGGAGGTCAGATGTCTAAAAATGATTCTTAATAGGATAAAATAAAGACACTGCCAGGGCTGTGTTTCTGTGTAGAGGCTCTAAGAGAGAATCCATTTTCTTACTTTTTCCAGCATCAACAGGCTGTCTGAATTCTTGGTTTATGGTCTTTTTTTAATCTTCAAACCAAGCAGCATAGCAACTTAGACTGTGAATCTTCTGTCTCTTTCTTTTCTTTCTTTCTTTTTTTGTTGAGATAGAGTCCCACCTATGCCCCTGAGCAGAGTGCAGTGGCTTGGTAGTTCCCTGCAACCTCAGACTCCAGCTTGTGGGCATCCTGCTGCCTCAGCCTCCGGAAGCCGTTGGGATTATAGGTGTTTGCAGTGGCGCCCGGCTGGGTTTTTCCATTTTTTTCATGAGTCGGGGTTTCTCTCTCACTCAGGCAAGTCTGGAACTCCTGAGCTCAAGTGATTCACCCTCCTCAGCCTCCCACAGTGCGTGGGAACCACTGCACCCAGCTCCTCTGCACATTACAGGCGTGAGCCACCGCACCCAGCTCCTCTGCCTCTTTCTTTACTTTACAAAGACCCTTGTGATTACACTGGGCTCACTTGGATAAATCCAAGCTAATCTTTCCACTTTATGATCTTTGACATAAGTACATCTATAAAATTCCTTTAACCATGTGAAGTAATAGGTTCCTTGGATTGAGACATAGATTTTAGGGGGAGACATTAGTCTGCCTACCATAGTAGATAAATAAAAAATACTATATAATGTATAAATGTAATTTCATTTGTAACTTTTTGTTTCTCTTATCTGATTCAAAAGACAACTGCATAAAATAATTATATATAATCTTTGTTGATGAGCTCATAATATTTAAAGATATTATTTGCACAATGGAGAGAGAACACAATTACATAGGAATAATTTGGCATTAATTTAGGCTAGATTATCATAAACTAAGATGTTAATTATAACCTGTAGGAGGATTATTGAAAAAAAAACCGTCAAAAAATTATGGTAAAGGAGTTAAAATGGTATGCCAGAACATATCTATTCAACACAAGAAAGAGCTATAATAGAGGAAAAGAGGTACAAAAAGGACATACAGCAAGATCTTTCATTGCAGTTTTGAACTCCTGGGTTCAAATGATCTTCCTGCCTTAGCCTTTTCAATGGCTGCAACTATATAGGTACATGTCACCATGTCCTGTCAGTTTTTTTCATTTTTTTTTGTGGAGAAGGGGCCTCACTAGAACTCCTGTCCTCAAGTGATCCACCTTCCTTAGCTTTCAGAGTTGCTGGGATTATAAGCATAAATTGCTGTACCCAGCTCAAAAATTTTAAGTTTTTTTTTTTTTTTTAGAGACAGAGTTTTATTTTGTTGTCCTTGGTAGAGTTCCCTTGCGTCACAGCTGACAGCAACCTCAAACTCTTGGGCTCAAGTGATTCTTTTGCCTCAGCCTCCCTAGCAGCTGGGACTACAGGTGCCTGCCAAATGCCCGGTTATATTTCAAGATGAGGTCTCATTCTGGCTCAGGCTAATCTCGAACCTGTGAGCTCAGACAATCCACCTGTCTTGGTCTCCCAAGTGCTAGGATTACAGGTGTGTTGAGGCACTGGCCCAGGCCCCAGCTCAAATATTTTACTTTGTAAAAACATACCAATCTTTTCCTTTATAATTTTTCTCTTTGTATTCATGCTTATGCAGTCATCTATACCTTAAAAGCAGATAAAAAATATTCACATTTTCTTTTTGTATGTAAGACTCTTATATCAGGGCTTGGTGCCTATAGCTTAGCAGCTGGGGCATCGCCACATACACTGGGGCTGGTGGGCATGAACCTGGCCCAGGCCTGCCAAACAATGATCACCACCACCACCACCACAACAAATAGCCAGGCAGTTGTGGCAGGTGCCTGTAGTCCCAGCTGCTCGGGAGAGTGAGGCAAAAGAATTGCTTAAGCCCAAGAGTTTGAGGTTGCTGTGAGCTGTGAAGCCATGGCACTGTACTGAGGGTGACATAGTGACACTGTCTCAAAAAATAATAATAATAATCTGCTTCCTTCTCCCCTCCCCCCCGCCCCATCCCTGCCACAGTTTGGTTCCACATCCTCTCTGGTCTATAGCTGCAGATGACAGTGCATCTCTCTCATCAAATTAGCATAATTATATAGAATAAAAACCAAATTTTGGTAAAAATATGAAGAAACAAACGTGCCTATTAAAATCTTATTTACTGTGGAGAGAAGGGAATACTTCTACATTACTGTGGGATTGCAAACTAATACAGCCTTTTTTTGTTTTTTTTTTTTTGTTTGTTTGTTTTTTTGTGATTTTTGTCCTGGGCTGGGTTTGAACCCACCACTTCCTGCATATGGGGCCAGTGCCCTACTCCTTTGAGCCATAGGCGCCAGCCATTAATATAGCCCTTTTGGAAAGAAGTATGGAGAATCCCAAAAGATTTAAATGTAGACCTTCCATTTGACCTTGCAATCCCATTACCAGGTATCTACCCAGAAGAACATAAATCATTTTACCACAAAGACGTTTGCACTTCAATGTTTATTGTGGCTCAATTCATAATAGCCAAGTCATGGAAGCAACCTAAGTTGACTCATGAACGGATCAACAAACTGTGGTTTATGTATACCATGGAATATTATGCAGCCATTAAAATTATGGAAACTTTACTTCTTTTACATTTACCTGGATGGAGCTGAAATACATTCTTCTTAGTAAAGTATCACAAGAATGGAAAGATAAATATCCAATGTACTCCATACTAATATGAAATCAAATCAATAATTACACATTCCTAAGAACAATAAAACACTATTATAGTCCAGTTCAGTGGTAAAGGGAAGTGGGATGGGGGACGTGGGAGGACATATGGTAGAAGAAGGGAAGGCATGAGGTGGAATCTCACATAATGTGCACATTGTGAGAGTGGATAACATGCTCCCTGGGTGAGGGGCTCTTCTACTAATGGAACTTTACCCTGGAAATGAGAAAAACGTAACCTAAATGTTGTACTCTCATATTAATTTGAATAAAGTTAAATAAAATAAAATAAAAT